AGGTCTGGGGTTTGAAGCGCTGACAACACTTGGGAGTCCAGCTTCATAACCATTATGCCATCTGTTGGTCCCATACCTTGTTCTTAAAAAAACATAATACTAGGGGCTGGCAGATGTTGCTATTGGTTAAGGTGCTAGACTCCCACATGGCTGACCACAGTTTGAGTACCAGATCCAGCAGCTTGAAAATCACACCACAGGTGTGTGTGTGCACGTCTACACTCCCAGGAGGAGAATGGGACTGCATAGGACTGCAGTGTGGCCATTTCCCCTGGGTGGCGATTTCTCACTTTCCCTTTCTCTGCTTCTATCTCTCCCGAGTGAACTCACACCTTTCACTTTCCCTTTCTCTGTTTCTATCTCTCCCTAGTGAACTCACACACCTTTGGCAAAAACCTAAATTAAATACTAATGGAAAAGAGAAGTCTCTTAAGGTTCAGAGTGATCGCATTCACCTGGAATCCTCAGTACTTTCTACTCCCCTGGTGGGATTTACAAATCCCTGCTGTGGCCCTTGTGAACTTATTTTTCCACACCTTTAAGCACCAGGACAAAGGTCACAGGTGGATCTCTCCCAAACACTGTCAGTTTAGCCCAGAAAACCCTTTGTTTCTTTGTTTGTTAATGAATTCACAAGTGAGATTTAGAAATCCAATTTCACACGCACCTCTGATTCCAAGACCTGTCTTTCTGTGCAGCAGTCGGGGCCAGGACAGAGCAGAGGCTGACACCCACACCCCTACACACACACACACACACACACACACACACACACACACATACACACACCCCTACATACACACCTCTAGCAGGAAGTCCCCCCCACCCATAACCCACACACCTACCTGGCCCATCAACAGGCCACCTCACCACCTCTCCCAGTACCCCTATTTCTTTTGTAAAAGGCTAGGGAAGCTATTTCCCCCACCAAAACTAATCTCTAAAATCATGAGCACCCCTTCCTGATCATGTCTACACTAGCGCCCTGATCCTCTTCCCACAGAACAAAGGCCGGATGTGCAGCCCGCAGGAATTCTGCTGAGATTCCGCTTTGCGTGTATAAACACCCCCCCGCCCACCGAGCACACACACAGCATGAGGCGGTGCCCACAAATCACCAGCCAGGCCAGGGCTTGGCCATCCCGGCTCTAACTCCAGCACTGTGCCTACTGGTGGGACTGGCTACTCCGTGCCTCAGTTTCTTCATATGGAAAATGAATGCCCTAATAGTGTCCTCGCTGGCACCTGAGGGTCGGGCTCCTGGCAGAACACGGAGTCCTAGCCTTCTGGGGCATTCTGGCCAGGCTTGCCTGGGATGCCACCTCCCTCACTGGGCCCTCTAGTGAGGGCTCCCACCACTCCTGTAGGTAAACCAACTCTTGCCTTTGCATCTGGACCTGGTCTGCTCACACCGCGATCGCTGTCTGGCCTGGGCTCCCGGCTCACGCTGCAATTCCGTCTGGCCTTCAGCTCAGGCTCCAGTTCCTGCTTCCCGTCTGAGGGTCCTACAGGGCAAGGCCCACTGACTCTGCCTTCCGGCCTTCAGGCTCAGCGGGGCCTTCCGGGTCAACCGGGCTGGACTGTAGCCAATGGAGCCGGAAGCTGGGCCCAGCTGGAGAGGATCTGGCGCCTCTAGCTGGTGTCTCCCCTGTCACTGCAGCCACCCCTGAGATGAGTCCCCGGTGGCCCCATCGCTTTGGCTTAGGAGCTGTCCCACCCCACAGCACATGGATTTTAGAGCGGGGCTCCCTGGGACCTTCCTACAGCCTGTGGGCATCCTGGGAGCCCTCTGGGCCTTTGACCCTTGATTGGGCCCAAGGACCCCCACGGTTCCCCAGAGAGGCATCTGGAGGTCCAGAGCGCTGTTACTGCGTGGGCCGGTATCAGCTGACACCGCACAGGGCGCCTGGGTCTGGGGGTTCATTTTGTTTGGTTGTTAAATGAGAGACACGCAGGGTTTGTGTGTTTGTTTTAGAGTGAGAAATGTTTGCTGTAGGGCTCACGGGCTCAATCCTGAGACAGACAGAGAGGGAAAGTGAGAAATAACCTCCCAGGAGGAATGGCTATGACACAATTCCTTGTCCTCCATTCTCTGGAAAAACTGTTAAAAAAAAAATCATTTAAAAATATCAACAATGGGGGATTTAAAAGCTGTGGACTGCTGGACTTAGTGACTGACTTCCAAAGAACAGAATACAGAAAGGGAAATAGAAACTCACAGAGAAAAGAAACAGAAAACACAACCATGACCCAGTGGTCAAGGTCGGCATCAGCGGTGATGTCACGTGGAGGTCACGTGCCCACCAAAATGATGCAAAACTGGGTCCTTCACTTCCGAGGTGTTCTTTCCAAAGACCTGAAGCCCCAGTCTAATTATAAGAAAAAAACTGAATGGAGAGATATTCTATAAAATACCTACCCACTTTGTCTTTACCAAGGTCACGAACAAGCAAAGTCTGAGAAACTGTCGCAGACCAGAGGAGACCAAGGCAACCGGCCGATTAAAAGGAACGTGGTAACTCGGACCAGATCTCGGAGAGGACAAGGGTCTTTAGTGCAGAAGCTGGTGAAATCCCATCGAGTCTAGAGAACAGTTCATAGTAATGTCAGTGTTGATGTCTCTGTTCTTTTCTTTTCAGAATTATTTTATTTAACTTTATTTATTTATTTATTTACTTATTTTTAAATTTGACCAGAGAGGGACAGAACAAGAGAAAGAGAGAGAGGGAAAGTGAGAAAGCAAGCCACGAGCCCTGGGACGTGAACCACAGTCGGCCATAAGGGAGTCCAGCACCCTTAACCACCACGCCACCTGCCGACTCCAATATCTCAGTTTTGACAAATGTACCATAGTCCATGTTATCAGGGTCACTGCAAGTAGGGGAGGGATAAAGGGGAATTCTCTTTACTATCTTTGCAACTGCTCTACAAATCCACTACTATTGGAGAATGAAGGGTTTGTTTTTAGAAATCAGCAGAAGAGCGCTTCCCTCTCCAGCCTACGTTCACGTGAAGGCTGCAAACCATACAGACAGGATTTCCAACAACCTGTGAGCCCGCCGAGGCCCCAAATCCCGCATGGTGCAGGCCCTTGGTAAATGCTAAAAGCACCCTGCATGGCAGAGAAGCCCTGCTGTCATGAGAACACCCAGCTAAACTGCACTGTGGGGTCTGTCTGAGACCACCTCGAGGGAGGCCTTATCGAGCCCCTTCCCCAGTCAGGTCTGAATGGCGGCCAGGTCTCTGACTCCAGACTGGCCTGTGGGTCACAGCTCTAGGACAGGCAGGTCTTTCAAGGTCTGGGACTAGCCTTCTTCCTGCCATCGACCCAGAGGAAGTACTTCATCCGAGCTGCAAATAACAATGGGGACGTTACTGAATCCTTCACTCATGGCAGACACCAGTTCCCAAACAGAAGCAGGAAGTTAAACCAGCGGGCAGGGATACACGGTCCGGGAGACAGCAGTTTTCTCATCGGTGTTGCATTGGACTTTGGCATTCAGGAAGGAGAATTTCTTCTAAGTGAGTGGCTTCTGGGAAACGGCCACACAGCGTCTGCTCACACTACATGCTCAGCAACCCGAACTTCTTCCCTGGCTCCCGTCTGAAGTCATGTGGTAACGATGGTGGTGGTGACACTTTGGGACAAACTGGGGGAAGGGCAGGGCCAGCACCCTGAGTGTTCAGTTTGGCCTTCCAGCCCTGAGGAAAGGTGCCTGGTTGGCACAGATGCCTTTGCCCAGAACACGCTGTGCTCCTGAGATTGCACATAGAAAATGTGCATTTATTTTTAAGGTTTTTGCCACAAGGAATATGCACTCACCAAAGAGAGACAAAGAGAGGCAGTGAGAGGGAGAGTGAGAAATCATCCCCCGAGGAGATGGCCACACTGCAATCTCTTCTCTGTTCTCCTTCTTGGATTACGGGCATGCACACTCATGTGCCTGGCATGATTATCAAGCTGCCAGGTCCAGGACTCGAACTGGAGTGGACTATGTGGGAGTCCAATGCCTTAACCACTATGCCACCTGCTGGCCCCCAGAAATGAATATTTTCAAAAGAACAAGTTCTATACAGGCATCATCTCATAGGAGCAAATGTAACTTCACAAACTCCTAGCACAGGGCGTCACCATTGGGCACCACTTTTAGGAGGCTTTCCCTTCCTGTAGTTTCCAAGGTCCTTTTAGGATACCCACAGGCTGTCCCTAAGATAGCACTTACTAACAGTTAGTCCCAGTGGGCCGCTGACCAGCCCGCCCACAAAGGCCACAGTCCCCGTGACCAGTGCGCCCCCTCCTGGAGTGTATGACAGCCCCATCACTTTCCTCTGCTCAGAAATGGCACACAGCAGTTTCATGCTGTCTTTCGCCATGATGGGCATCGTGGCGGGCCTTAGGGGACAATTTCAGAGGGAGAGTTTTAGTGAGTGTAAGGGCGTTTCTACCCAACAGTTGTTCCTCCTAGAGTTTGGAGGAAGAGACAACTGTATCTCCACCATGGGCATGGCCTACAGCAGCCAGACAGTGGGAAGTTCCTGTCACAGGAAGAGCAGGGCAGCAGTCGGGTAATAAGTAAATAGAAGCAGTGGAGGGAATGAAAGGTCTTCCTGGCCCTCTGATTAACCTCTGACTTACGACAGACTGGGGAGCAGCCCCAGCCTCACATTCTGCTAGTCCATCGCGAGGGAGGCAAGTCCGAGCTCTCCTGCATCAGTGGCCTTTCAGCTGGCTCAGGCAATCCCCTCTGCACAAAGCCAGGCAGAGACCAGAAGTCCCAGCCACGTGTCCTCTTTTGCATAACAGAGCATCTGAGCTAATGCTGAGCCACAGAAGGGGAAAGGGCAGGAGTCTGGGATTACACAGGCCTTGCACCGGCATTTACCCCATGTATGACCCTGAGCAAGACCAAGGTGAACCACCTGCAGGCTGCTTTCCTGTGAGGAGAGTGGGTATGAAGTTCTTGGGAAGTGGGACCAGCAGTTAGCATAGTGGCTATGTCGCTGGATTCCCATGTGGTCGACCGCGGTTCGTGTCCCTGACCCGGTGGCTTAAAACTCACGCCGGGCGCACATGCGTGCCTTCACAGGATCCCGAGAGGAGAACGGAGGAGAAGGGATTCTGGCATGGCCATCCCCCCTGGGGGGTGATTTCTTGCTTTCTGTCTCTGTCTGTCTGGCAAGTGCACGTGCCCTATGGCAAAAAGCTCTCCAAAAAAAAAAAAATAAAGAAGAAAAAAAAAGTTCTTGGGAGGTGTCAGGGACATCACAGACTCTCAGCCATGGTGGCTCCAAATTAACCTTCTGTCATGAACATACACCACTGGCATCCTTATGTAATTGCTCTAAAAAGTCAATACACATGGGGCCTTAAGATCAGAGACAAGATGAAGTAGTAAGATGAAGCAATTAGAGAATGAATAAATTAAAGAATTCTAGAAATTTGCAGTAAATATGGATAGAGAGACAGATGGATAGACCTTGAGGGTCACTGTCTAGGGTTAGTAAGCAGTGTGCCCTGCAGGTGGGAAATGGCAGGAGAACAGGGTGGGCACTGCCCTGCCATGGGGTGGGCAGGAATAGAGAACCACACCCCATGGCCCACCTGGCAGGGCCAAGATGGAAAATCAAGCAGCAGTGGGTCAGTGCCTTGTGGGAAGCTGCACACCAGCGAGTCTGCCAAGGTTTCTCAGAGAGCAAACAATTACCATGATTGGTTCCCTTCCAAAAACCTGACCTTCGAAACCTTGCTCTGATTGGCCACTAGAATCCCTCAGATTTGCATA